TAAACAATGCCACCCCGACTCCTGCGGCAGGCCACAGGGAACAGCCGGGCCTCCCCCAGCCGTGCCACACGCACTTCTTCCTGCTGAGCCGCTGTCAGCCCGGCTCCGTCCGCACCCGCTCCGGCGGCGGCACCGGTGCCCGGCCCGGGGTCCCAGCTGGGAATGCATCCGGGGCCACCGGCCCAGCACCGAGTCCGGAGACTACAACGCACGGGAGCCTCGGAGTGTGGCCTATAGGAGGCAGAATCCCATTCATCATACGCTGCAAAGAGCTGCTCTTTGTTCGCCGTCGTTCCACGTATAGTACGTGCTAACGAGCCCGGCGGTCAGAGGCAGGGAGCCGGCTTCAGGGGGCGTCCGGGGGCGAAGGACTCGAGCAAGGCGGCTCGCACGACTCCCCGGGACCTGCTGCCCTGTCCCGCGCCACGAGCATTGTTCCCCGAGTCTGCAGGCGGGGGTGGTGAGCTGGGGGCGCCGGAGAAGCCACTCGGGGCAACGCAAAGCGAGGGCCCTCCGGGACTCTGGGGCGTCCTGGCTCGACCGCCCCGCCCCACCAAGTGGAACCCCGAGAGGGGAGGCGGCCTCCCACGGGTGTGCAAGCCAAGGACGGGCAAAAATGTGGCTCGACCAGTGTGCCCGCGCCCGAGGCCCTGCTCGCCATGTGCAGGAGCCACGCCGGCGCCCCACGCTCCGCACGCCCCATCCGCGGCCCCCGCCCGGGACTGAGCACCTCCTCACCCGCAACGCGCCCGCCCCGGCGGCCCGGCCGTGTGCAGCCCGCCGCTCGCGCCCGCACCCCGGGGCGGCAGCGAAAACTTCCGCGAACAAAAGAGTTGTCTGCAACCGATGCGGGAAGTTCGGGGCGAGCGGGGCCGCCGGGTCCTGGGGCTCAAGTTGAGACGCGGAGAAGGGGGCACCCCGGGCGCAGCCGTGCCCGCGCCCGCCCCGGGAACGCAGGCTTCTCCGCGGGGGCCGGGCCGGCCCGCTCCCCGGCGGCGCTCTGACAAGTCTCACGCCGGCCCCGGGAGCGGCGGCGCCCCGAGAAACCACCCAGCCCGACGCGGAACAAGGCGGAGCGAGACCAGCAACAAAACGAGAAAGGCGAGCCGTGCGCGCCGAGGGCTCCCCCCCGCCGGCAGCGGGGCGCGCCGGGCAGGAGCCGCCGCTCGGGACCGACCCCCCCCCCCCCACCCCCGGTCGCTTACTGTGCGCGGCCGGGCGCTCCGGCGCGGGCCCCGAGTCGTCGGGCTGCCGCGCGCTCTCCCGCCGGCGCCGAGCGCTGCACACCGAGCGGCTCCAGGGAGGAAACCGACTTGTCACTTCCTGAGCCGCTGCGACTCGTCCCTTCAACCCGCCCGGCCAGGCCGCGCCGCCGCCTCCGCGGGGCGCCCGATCGCCGCTGCGAGTGGCTGGGACCGGCGCTGCGGGCGCTGCGGGCCGGGCGCTCGGCGGGCGGGTGGCGGGCAGGAGCCGGCGGCGTGCGGCGGGGTGCTGTGCGCGCAGCCGCCGGTGGGCGGGGAGTGGGGGGGTCGCGGCGCGCCGCCAGCGGGGCTAGAGGGCGTCCTGCTACCGAGCCCGCGCCGGCCGGGCCGGGCCGCGGGAAGGGGCCCGGACCGAGCGGCCACCGGCCGAGGCGGCCCGGGCCCGGGGCCAGGCCCCCCGCGGGAGTCTCCCCGGCCCCCGGCACGAGGCGGGACTGCCCCCGAGCCGCGTGCACTGCAGACGTCCAGCTTCCGGGTTGTGGGTTTGGGGTTTTGAAGACACGATCGGTGCAGGGCTGCGGGGGGCCGGGGCCGGGGGCGTGTGCGTGTGGTCACACTTTGGGAAGATGAGGCGCTCGCTCCCTGGCCCGGCGCGGGTGGAAATGAAGGAAGTGCGCTTCCGAAGCCGCGGCCCAAACTCCTGCCGCGGGAGGAGGAAGGCTCGGTTGCTAGGCGAGGCGCGTGTTTAGCTCCGTCGCCGGGGATGTTGACTTCAGTTCAGGAATGCGGCCCTGACAGAGACGCGGGGCGGCTCCCCGAGCGGCTCACCTGGGGGAGGGGACGGTCCTGGGAAGCGGTCCTGGCTTCCCAGCACTCCTGCCTGTTGGTGGAGGTTATTTTATTGACCTTGTGTCCAAAGAGAGATTTTTAAAGAGGCTTTTTTAAAAGAACTCCCTATGCCTGTTTTGTGTTCTCCTTTGCCAAAAAAACAAAACACCTCATTACTTGACATGGATTGTGTCTGAGCCATTTGAATGGTTCTATTCATAAATCAGGAAACTTTTTCTGTTGCTTCTAGGAACATTTAATTGGTTTTAATCCAACGTTTCAATCCCAGTATCAAACATAAATGAACAATTAACTTTTTGAGCTTGTGTGCACTTGGGAAACTATTATATTTCATGGCTATTGCTGAAATATTTCAGTTTCTCATCACACTGGGCCCATTCTTTTTTCAGAAAGCCATGAGCTAACATCTCCTTTCACACTGACTACGGCTCACCCCAGTGATTTCTGCTCCGAGGAGCATGGCCAGCAAAGCAGAGGGGTTTGTAGATGATGTGGGGCATAATCCTACGAAAGCCAACATGAGCTACCGCACAGAATCCTAAGGTACTGATGCCCGCATCCACACACACTTGAAAAAACTAGCGCGGTCAGCTGAGAGGAGCGGGGCCAAGTCCTCCCAGGCCGGACAAAGACAGGCCCGGGTTAATTTGGGAATGCTGCTATAGCTCCCTAACGCCATCTCCTCCGCGTCACCTCGCCTTGGAGGGCTTTAAGGAAATAGTTTAATTTACTTTTATTAGGAGGCCTAGAGTGACTCCTGCTGGCAAGCACTCAGTTTATTCCTGCAATTACCAGTTCAGCAGGTCAACTTAAAAAACAACGCAGGGGTCGCGAGCCTGGAAACAATCACTGCGACCATTACTCTCGCTGCTTTCAGGGTGATTTTAGTTGCAAGGAACTCTAAGGACTGTGGTGATGGCAGGCCCTTTCCAACTGACAGCAGCCTGTTTTTCTGGTTCTGAGACTTTATTTTATTGAGAATGTACAAAACTAAAACACATGGTTAAGGAGCTGTGCTGCTAGCCAATGAACAGCTATTTCTCATTCACTTAATTTGAATCCCCAAAGGCTAAAAATACAGACATCAAGGCCTGTGTCACTTAACCTTCCATACTATCAGGCTCCACCCACACTATTAACAAATCCTATAGATATTAAAACACCCCCACTTTTTAGAGCTATATTACATAGTTCTTAATTATAAAAACCCTACACAAAAGGTTGTATATTCGAGTTTTGCTCAATTCAGAAGAATAAATATAAACTCAGTGCAACTCTGGATTTAAGACCCTGTAAGCGGCAACTGGGGGAAGGGGGTGTACCTTTGTTCAATCCTAGAAGGCCAGAACCAGATTTATAGCAGACACCTCAACACAAATTCATAGGCCAATTTAGGAATAAATCCATAAGTAGTAACCAAAAATGATCACCTGTAGCATTTCCATTATAATTGATCCCCACTGATTGGGTTAAACCACGGAATATCCTGGGAGAGAGAAAATGTGGCGGTTACAGGTCTCGGTTACATCCGAGACCCAGATGAAACCCAGGGATGGAACCACCGTCCTGGCTCTCCTGGCCCCCGGCAGAGCTGCCCAGGCGGGAGGCTGTGTGCATGGTGGGCACCCCGCCCCCTCACCGCCCGGGGTTTAGTGTCATTCCCTATGAAGAGCTCCCCCACCCCAAGTTTCAAGCTCTTAAGCAACAAGAGACAAACAGGATGTATTTTATTAAGAAAGGGTGTGATCAAGTATAACTTGTATCAACAAGCTAATAAAAGTATTCACCTAAGTACTTCTGTGCAGAGGAGGGTAAAGGTTGGGTTGTGATATGCACGGAGTGTCCTAGGGAGTTGGTGGGTGTTTTGTTTTTGTGACTTTAAAATAAGACAAATGTGATATTCCAACTAAGCTTTGAAGTTTGGGTAAGGACCAGTCAACGTTCAGTGTTTCCCATCAAATCTATCTGCACCCAGTTTTCAAAGAGCTCCCCACTTAAAAATATGCACTAGTTTGCCTCTGAGAACAACAATATTCTTTTTAGACTAACAGTGACACAGACATCAAACATGTTGCGCTGAGCGCTGAGCCCGCAGCAGCCGCCAGATGTGTATTAACTCCTTTATGCAGCCTCCAGAGCCGCGCCTTTGTCACAACCCCTGTATTAAAGGGCAGTCATTCACATTTCACACTGTCCTTTCTGCATCTGAAAAGATCTTTTTAGAAGCAGAAGCTGAACATTTCTTAGAACAGATCATGAGGAGGCAGACATCCCCAAGTCACCTGAAGCACTCCCAAAGAGACTGGCGACTGGAACCAGTGAGCAAAAGAGGCTTCTTTGGAAAACGTGGAAAATTATGATTATAGATGGAAATCAAAAACCTGTACTTACTATGGTGGCAATTTTCTCATGTGGCTCTCATTCAAAAAAATAAGTTCTGCCCTGGCGGGTTTGGCACAGTGGGTAGAGCATCGGCCTGCGGACCAAAGGGTCCCAGGTTCAATTCTGGTCAAGGGCACGTACCTCGGTTGCTGGCTCCTCCCCAGCCCAGGCCCAGGTCGGCGTGTGCAGGAGGCAACCAATGGATGTGTTTCTCACATCGATGCTTCTCTCTGTCTCTCCCTCTCTTCCACTCTCTCTGAAAATCAATGGAAAAATATCCCCGGGTGAGGAGTAACAGAAAATGAAACAAAACGTTCTGTAATTGTTCCCACATCGATGCTCCAGGTACAACCCCCGCCCTGCCGACAGCAGCCTGACACAGCGGGCCGTGCTTTCCTCTCTGTTACCTTGTGCCGAGACCTTCCCGCTAATGAAAGGAGGTACAGCCCTGGCTGCATCCTCATGTGCGTGTGTGTGTGTCTGCGTGTGCCTGTGTGTGTATATACATATATCCCAAATCTATACACACACGTTTCCTAAAAGGTACTGCAGTTCTTGAAGACAAAGTTATTTTGATTCAAGAACCAAATAAAACAAATTTATTTTCACTGAATTTAACGAAAATCCACAGCTAAGTTTAATGATCCCAATCTAACTCCTCTGACACAGAATGGGAGTCGAGAGCAGCTTGAGGGGCCCGCTACTGAATCAGCGCGTGTGAATCTGCGCGGCTTTGTCACAAACGTCCAGCGCCATTGAGGCAGGGAGATGCCAGCTGGGCCGGCATTGTGTGCCACAAAGTGGGGTTGTAAGCCCACGTCCTGAGCACAAACTCCGGCTTCCAAGTTGGCAGGTGCTGAAAACATAGCAAATGTCACGCCTGCAGCTCACTGGAGGAAGAGCTCTGGGGGAAGTAAGCGGAAAAGAGCAGAGCGACAGTTAAAGCTGAATTCCACTTGGCAGCACATTGTTGTTTTGTTGCAAAGTTAACAGTAGCTATGGGTTAGGTGCTACAAGACAACACAAGCCATGAAAAACACAGACATTGAAAAGTTTAGGCATGATAAAGAAGCAAAAATAAATATAATGAAGGCTTTTCACTACCTACATTCAAAGTTACTGGTATATGGAAAACTTACCAAACTATTTTACTTTCTTAAAAAATATATATTTTTATTGATTTCAGAGAGGCAGGGAGAGGGAGTGAAACATCAATGATGAGAGAGAATCATGGATCGGCTGCCTCCTGCACGCCCCACACCGGGATCGAGCCCACAACCCGGGCCTGTGCCCTCGACCGGAATCGAACCCGGGACCCTTCAGTCCACAGGCTCAGGCTCTCTTCACTGAGCCCAACCAGCTAGGGCTATTTTACTATTTTAATGCCGAGATGCAGAGGCATAATTAGTTACTGGCCTTTCCCTTATCTGCTCAGGGTCTTAGCTGATATAGTCTAATTAGTATCACACAACACGATTACTCCACCAAAAACGTAACTAAAAACAATACTGCTATACACTGAATTTAACCTGGAAAGTATTTCAACAGCACACCCAGACTAAATGTTATCTTCAAATGAAAACAGTCACAATTTTTTAAATATATTTTTATTGATTTCAAAAAGGAAAGGAGAGAGAGAGAGAGGAAGAAAGAGAGGAGACATCAGTGATGAGAAAGAATCATCACACTGGGATTGAATTGAGCCCACAACCCGGTGTGTACCCCGACCGGGAATCGAACTGTGACCTCCTGGTTCATAGGTTGACACTCAACCACTGAGCCACACTGGATGGGCCAATTTTTTTCTTAAAATACTCTCCAGTCCTGGCCGGTGTGGCTCAGTTGACTGGGCATTATCCCATGCACTGAAAGGTTGCCAGTTCCATTCCCAGTCAGGGCACATGTCCGGGGTGCGGGCTCGATCCCCGGTGGGGAGCATGCAGGAGGCAGCCGGTCGATGTTTCGTTCTGACATTGATGTTTCTCTCTCTCTCCCTTCCTTTCTCACTAAAAACCCCACAAAAACATCTTTTGAAATATATATATTCTTCAGTAGAATTCACATTTAGTATTTGAGACACAAGCCCAAACTTTAACTTTTCTCTTCTGTCAACTATCTGCCATATTAAGTCACTGCCTCCAGCAAAATCTATTTTTACCTCATCCCTAGTGATGTGCGCTAAGCTACTGTAGCCTGCCCAGCCCCCATCAAACTGAAACCAAGTGAACTTCACTCTCACGAGGCAGCGAAGGAACTGTTTGTTACACTAGATGCGGTGGGTGATGTCACAGCGTTTAAATTCCCAATTTGAAGGCGGAATCGTTTGGATTGGAAATACCAAGAAGAAAACCCGAGTCTCTGGCTCCACTGGGCAGGACACGCCGGGAGCAGCATGGAGAGCACATCTGCCCTGCACATCACACCGCCCGCGAGTGTCTAACGCCCCCCCGGCAGTGTGTCCATCTTCCCGGGGAACAAAAAGCAAAGCCTTTTGTTTCACCAGACCCAGGCTGTTTACAAGAGGGGCCGGCCTTGCCTACTTTGCACGTGCATATCCTGTAGCTGACCTGAAACAGAAAGGAACTATTATCAGTGAGAAGTCGCCTGCTATTTGACATCCTATCTTACAGCTGCTCTTCACTTTCACAAGGAACAGCGGCAACAAAAATGACAACAAAACTGGATCACAGCAGGTTCACGGGCGTTGACTGGCGGCCCACCTGCCTCTAAGTGGTGATGCTGATTGTGTCCTGTCCCCATGGCGCACACCTTACCATCCTGACCTCATCTCTATTTTTTTAAATGTTTTTATTGATTTCAGAGAGGAAGGGAGAGGGAGAGAGAAACATCAATGATGAGAGAGAATCATTGATTGGCTGCCTCCTGCACACCCCAGACTGGGGATTGAGCCCGCAACCTGGGCACGTGCCCCTGACTGCAACCGAACCCAGGACCCTTCAGTTTGCAGGCCGACGCTCTATCCACTGAGCCAAACCAGCTAGGGCCTTGGCCTCATCTCTATGGAGCTTTTAAATACGGTTCAGACGTAAGCTCTTTGAGGTGAGCTCGGCAAAGGGACACTGGTCTAGCCGCACTTCTGCAGTCACACTCAGCACTTCAGGAGCTGAGAGGCTATTCACTGACCCGCCAGTGAGACGGTTACATAAGCAGATCTGCAATGTCCTAGACGGGCATGAGCAGCTGCCCCGCTGGACTCTCCCCACCATCCTGTGAGCTCTAGTAGGAACTGAGGTCAAACCAGACAAGCTTCTGAAAGTGGTACCCAACATCTAACTTCTAAGCGCCACTGCGCGTGCACTGACACTCAGACCAGCGCCAAGCAAAGCAGCACGACTCACTCACCAAGGAAGTCAAACGTAGACGCAAGGTGGGACCGACCGCGAAAGCCTGAGCCCGCTGCTCCCAGGCGCCGCCGGTAAGAGACCAAACCCAACTCCACTGCTGTCATCGAACCTGTGCCGCCACTGGGACCTGCGTGCGGTTCCTTTTTTGATGTCGCTGCAAACAATGACTTGGCATCCAGACCTGCAGGAGGAAGGAGACCTCGGCCTTGGCATTTCTTTCGAGTGCGTCCACGCGAGCATTTTCCCGCAGACCTACGTGCGTGACTAAATCACCACCGCGTGGAGGGCGACCCTCTCACCGAGGGGACGAGGGGGCCGTGGAGCCTGCCGACACACACTGGGATGCGCACTGTGACTTCTGGTCCTCACTTGTTTTCTGTGTGTTTTTAATCCTCACCAGAGGATATTTTCCCACTGATTTTTAGGGAGAGTGGAGGAGAGAGGGACAGACAGAGAGACATCAATGTGAGAGAAACACATCGATTGGTTGCCTCCTGCATGCACCCCAACCTGGGCCTGGCCAGGGAGGAGCCTGCAACAGAGGTACATGCCTTGACCAGAATCGAACCCGCGACCGTCGCAGGCCGATGCTCTATCCACCGAGCCACACCGGCCAGGGCTGGTCCTCACTTCTTAACCAACAAAAGGTGCTTCAGCACCAGAGCCATCGAGAGGCTCAGGAAGAGACCCAAGAGCAGGTTCCTGGAGCGCATCCCGCGCCCCCCCCACCCCCCCAGCATCAGAGTCAAAGAGGCCTGTGGCCGCCAGGGAGACGGCGCTGCCGACAGCCCAGAGGAGAGGCTGCAGGACGGAGCCTGTTCTGCTGGCACCTGGCCCTTGGAATTCGCAGTCTCTACACATAAAACACATTTCTATGGTCTAAGCCACCCAGTCTGTGGCCGCCAGCCTCAGGGACAGAGAACTTTAATATCACTGCCTAACATCCTTGTTTTAGGGGAAAAACTGAAACCCAGAAAAAGAAAGTGACTTGCCTGGCTTCCAATCACCTTTTCTCCAAATTTTAGTATTAAAAAAAAAAAATCTCCCTAGCTGGTGTGGCTCAGTGGATGGAGCTTCGGCCACAGGCTGAAGGGTCGCGGGCTGGATTCGGTCAGGGGCATGCAGCTTGATTGCGGGCTCCTCTCCAGCCCGGTCAGGGCTCCTGCAGGAGGCAACCAATCGATGTGTTTCTCTCCCGTCAATGTTTCCCTCTGTCTTTCCCTCTCTTCTACTCTCCCTAAAAAAGTCCATGAAAAAATATCTTCAGGTGAGGATTAACAACAAAATAATAATAATCAAATAAATAAATAAAATGAAAAGAATCAAAATAAATTTCAACGTCAGAAAATAATTTGATATTGTTTTGTTGAGAATTAAGTCATTAATCAACTGGTCGTAACAAAATGACGGCTCTTCCTTTGGGCCACTTACAGTCTCATCACGCAGAGGTCCCCCCGGGGGCCGCAGCTCCGGAACGAGCCTCTGAGCTCACAGGGAGGCCCACATACGGACCTCTCCTCCCAGCTGAATCCAGCTCATTACTTTTTAATTAAAGAAGAACCACAACCACCTCCGGGTGGCTCAGCTGGTTGGAGCATCGTCCTGTGCACCAAAAGGTTTCAGGTTCAAAATTCCCAGTCAGGGCACAGACCCAGGTTGTGGGTTCCAACCCCGACTGGGATGCACATGGGAGGCAACAGATCACTGTTTCTCTCTCTCCCTTCCTCTCTCTCTAAAATCAGTAAAAGCATATCCTTGGGTGAGGATTTTAAAAAAACAACCCACAACTGGCCCTTGCAACTACAAAGCCCTCTGGAATTCTGTCCTATCTCTTGAACAAACTATATTATCAATGATTTGACCCAACTGGCCCTCTTCACAGAACCACTGGGGTTTCCAGGGGGATCGAGCCTGCCGTGTGCCCTGACGATTGCTTCTCAAACACCAACACAGGCCACTCATTCCAAACCCAGTGTCACCGTGTCTCACGGGCCACAACGGCCGCAAAGGTTCTACTTATAACTAAGGCGACATGTAGTTTTCACTCCCAACCCCAGGCCTTTCTCCAAAACCTGCACACGGCTCTGCAGGGCGCCCAGTGTGTTTATTAAGTCAAACGCCACATGGCCGCTTTCCCGTCAGATTCTCCCGTGCAGTGTGGCTCCTTGGTGGGGACGCGGAAAGGAACCGTCATTACTGCTGCTTCCGGGCATCCGCACGCATCTCATCGCCAAAGCCAGCAGCGGGTCCCCAGGCGGCTGCTTCCCTCTCCTCCCTCCCCACCCAGTCCCAGGGCTGCCAGTCATCTGAACGAGCTCCATCCTACTGTTTTCTGAGCCGGGACGGACTAAAATTAGATGGGAACGAAGGCTGACATTTTCAGGGTACAGGAGTCAGAGGGAGATGAGAACTGGCAGCACCCCTCTTCTACATTTAGCCTTTCCTCCCGACCAGCCCCATCTCGAGCGGGAGGCAGGGGCAGAGGCAGGCAGGAGCAGGGACAGCCCCCCACCCGCTCCCCGCAGCATCCTCTTCTGCTGTCGTCACTGATGCCATCACCCTCACTGATGACAACAGCCGCCCCGCCTGGAAGTGTGCTAAAGCAGAGCCACAAAGCAGCTCAAGGTCTCCGTACCCAGCAGGCTTCTCAGTTTCTCTCCAAGCTCCTCGGCTGAGACCCAGGATATGCTAACTGCTGGGTATTTTTTAGGGTAAATTCTTAGCTATTTGGAAAAACAAATGCATTTGATTGGCTTTTCTTAAAAAGCTCTTCAGCACATGCCATAGATCACTTCCTAACAGACTCTTTCCTGACGCACGCATCACAATACGTATTAAAATGCAATGTGGGAAGTGGCCATTTCTTCAGATGGGCCATGTGACAGCGAAGAAAGCAGGTTCTGTTTTTACATCTTCCTCATAAACTGGGCCAGTGATTTGCAAGCACTTTAAGTCGCTCTCCTGGCGGTCTGTCTGTCTTACAATGGCCTCAGCAGGACAAGGGCACACGGGCCAGCTCTGCCTCTGGTGAGCTCCCCGGGAAGCGGGCCCTGATCCATTCATGTCCCGGGACCTAGTCCCATCTTCTTCACGCGGTTTCCCTGGGCCGACAGTGCAGGTCCGCACAGCGGCAGCTCGCAGCTCAGCCAGAGAAGCCTGCTTCGTGATCAGCCGACCGCACGATGGGCAAGACTTTGTAAACTCGGTGCCGACCGACTCAGCTCCCTTTTGTTCTGGTTCCTGGAGCCCATCTTGACCTCTGAGCTGGAAATGAATGATCTTTCAGCAACACTCCAGGGATCTCGCTCAGGGTCACATGCAGTCACTCACTGGGCTCGGACCGCGCCGTTCAGGGGCCCATTGTGGAGCGGGCTATTCAGCAGGGAGGGAGCCTGTGGGCCTGGGTATTTGTTGAGTTTCATTTCTATGCCCCTAACATAGGGATCCATCAATTGACCAAAGAATTGCACACTATTCTTGTACTTTTCTAACAAATTGCATGGTGTGTATGAAGAATAAATTAGCATCCATTTTCGTGAATTAACTGTTAATAAAACAAGCTCATGTGCTCCTGCCTCTCCTCAGGTCAACTGTTTCCTGCCCAACAGAGGGACCCGACAAGGGCTTCCCCATTTCCCCCCACCATGCACTTGTCCTCCAACCAATCAGGCCGGTCCCCACGGTCAAGCTCGGGGGTCAAGCTCAGGGAACGGCCCGCCCTCCGGGAAAGTGCTGGGGCCAGCACACCGCCCCCAGAAGCAGAGGTGAGCCTGCACACACAGGCCCTGTCTGCTCTGGAGGCAGCGAGGCGAGGCTCCCAGGCCACAACCAGGAGCTCGGACCCGGGTCTCCCACGGCACATGCTGGCCTGGAGAGCAATGGACTGGTCACAGATTTTGGGTTTTTTCATTGTAGCCGACCAGACACAGGCATACATCAATACCTAAAACGTTATTTAGGAGAACATAACTCAAAGTCTATTAACATACGCAGGGATACTCTGTTTCTTTATCTATCAATTTAAGAAAAATTATTCCAAAACCAAATAAAGGTTAATTACTAATACGAGTTCCTGAAAAATTAAGGTTTCTGGTATCCTCTGCATTATAGTTTCATAGAAATTTAAAAATGCAGAATCAGGGGATTGAGACACATTATCCACACAAAAACCAAGTGTTCGCATGTGCACGTCTCTCCCCCCCACGATGGAAAGCTGCGTGCACGTGACAGAGGAAGGAGGGGCCGCATCCGCACCACAACGGGGACTCATTCACCAGCAGCCGGTGCTTGCTTTGAAAGGGTTTCGGTCGAGCTGCCAGGGCAGTGGCAGGTTCATTCTCACGCTTAAATGCCAGTCCCCAAAGCAATGCTAACCGTGCACCTGGCTGAGAACACAACGTTCTGAAAACTTCTGTTGGTTAATTGGCACAGCCACCCATTCAGGCCTCGGGGCCTCCACAGAGGGCCTGTGGGCAGCAATAACATCTCACAACAATCTGTGAGGGCTGCAGGAGAAATCTCGTTTGCATTTCAAACAAGTTTCCCCAAATAAGAGTCTTTTGATGAAATAAAATTACAATTCCAACTCCTCCTCCCAGGAAAGAGGAAAGGGCGCTCCTCAGGCACTGGCTGCCTTCTCCCCAGCACCCACAGGCATGTGATGTCACACAACCGAGTCTCCCAGTCGTGCATTCACGACTCGTCTTGGTGACTCGTCTCGGTGACTCGGCGGCATTTCCTGGCCCGGCTGTTAACGCGTGGCCTTACTGGAAAATACTAATTCATTGGTAGCATTTTTGGACTTTCCATTTGTTCTGATGTCAAGCTCTGAGAGGCGGCTTCCAGCAGGATTCAACTGGTAAGAGATAACTCCCCTTTCGCAGCCATACCAACAGTTCCACGGTCCCCCAAATCCTCATCTCCACGCACAGATCAACACCCCGCGCGACAGACAAGCAGCTTCTCAACAAAGGCCACTCCAAGCTCTTAGTGACTCAAACCCAGTGTCCCATCTGGAGGGGGGTGGGAGTGGGAGGAGGGGGGGGGTGGGAGTGGGAGGAGAGGGGGTGGTGGACATCCCAGCCTGGCTTGTGCCCTGTCACAGTGCGGGAGCCCCGTAATTGATCACCCCAAAGAGGTAGGCCCTGCCCACCCACCACCCAGGGCTCCTCAATGGATTGCCCCAAAGAGGTAGGCCCCGCCCACCCACCACCCAGGGCTCCTCAATGGATTGCCCCAAAGAGGTAGGCCAGAGCCGCAGACCCCCAGGCCTCCGTGCTGCACAGGGACTGGCCAGGCCCACCTCCTCCACGCTGTGCAGAGCCACTGGACCCCCAGGCCTGGCCGCACACGGAGCTGGGAGGAGGCGGGACTTCCAGGCAGGCTCTGTGCCACACACGCAGCATCAAGCCCAGCTCCACCCACCTGCACATGCCCGCTGTGCATACAGCCATCTTGTGACGGCGTGAGGGCATCACGCATGAGGGCGTGACGACTACTTAGCCTTTTATGAGTAAGGATTAGCCCAAATACAAAACAGCATTACATATTAATATACCTTATCTTTCAAACATCTTAATAAACTGTTTCTCTTACTAATTAGCCCCCCACTAGAACCCCCTCATCCCATCTCCCTCAGGGCTCACACACGTGTAAGAGTAACTTCCTCGGCCTCGCAGGGAATGAGGCCGCCAGGTCCTGACTGGGCAAGTCCTTTAAGGCGAGCGAGGAGCGGGCGCCCAGTGCCCAGACTGACACCGGCATGGAGCAGAGCTCCCCAATAACCGCCCACCTTCGCTGGCAGCGCTAAGGCACGTCCTACTTCCCCACTGAACTGGGCAGAACATGCGAGGGAGGAGTGGGCCTTAGAGTCAGCGCCAGAGAACCACCCTGACTCCATCCTGCACGAGCTGCCGATGTAGAGAAGCAGGAAGAAGGAATGCCTGCCTGAGAGCGCTGGGAAGATTCAATAAGACAACATAACCTGAAAAAAACAAATACGCAACAGAACATGGTGCAAGCCTGTGACTGTATCTCTTAGTCATCTTTCTATTTATCTGTTTACGTACTTCCCGTTATCCCTCTCAGTGGATAAAAAACCACCAGCCACAAAATACAGCCTCAATTAGTATTTCTGGTCAACTGATATAGTTACCTGATTTTGTTTAACTATAAACATGAAGACTAGAGGTTTTCTCAGATAGTAAATAAATTTTTTAAATAACCACCATTCAACCCAAAATAGTAGGCTCATTGTGTTTCCTACTCTAATAAAACACCAATAAAGTTGTTTTGCTTATTACTCTGGCCCTGGAATCGTTTGGAAATCTTAACACAGAGCTATCTTCCATTCCGTGTTCCCAAGGCACGAAGTCAGGCACACAGGCTTCTGTCAATCCATTTACTGCTTTAAAGCTGTGAGCTGTGCAGCAGGTACAGGAAAGTGTTTTTAATCAAGAAGGAAAATATTTACATTTCAAATACAAAGAACATTTGAAATTACTCCTGGCTGACCTCAGGCCCGCGCCTGCACGCCCAGGACCTCGTATCTGTGCACCATGTGCATCCTGTGTACTCACTGAGCAGTTAGCTGCACCTGCATTTTCTGCCAGCATTACTTTGATGTGGGGCTTCTTTAAAAGCTCTCTGCGTTCGTCCGGAGAAAAGTCTCACGTTTTTTGGAAAACCAATGCAGCCACACTGTTTCCAGATCGGCCTCCAAAGCTGAACTTGGGTGTTGGCAACACTTCGAAGAGTTCAAATCCTGTCGGACAAAGTTCAAATACTCTTATTAGGGACTGAATTCCACAGTCAGAAGAAGCTTGTAGTAACTGTACTTTCAAGCCCTTTATGAAACTATGTGATTCCAAACTCTGAATTGTGACCGCATTTCATTTTGTGACGTCTCAGTTCTCCTGTGTGTGTGTGATGTGTGTTCACCCGAAACACTCTGAACTGAACAAGGAACAGACGAGACGGAAAACAGCTGCAGAAGAGGCTCCTTCTCATGCCTCCTGGGTGCGGCCCTTCCCCTGCGCATCTCCTCAGCCTACGCCACCGGCCTGCAGGCAGCAGCCACCACGGGCTGAGTTCTTGCCAGGCAGCAGGCACTGTGTTGGTGCTTTGTATGTACTAATGCAATTGATCGCCAGCACACATACAAAACCTTCAGACAGAAAGGTCAGTCACAGGGGAGTACAAACGAATCTGTAGGATGAAGCAGCTCTGGAGATGATGTGGTGACGGCTACGCAACAGCGTCGGTGCACTTAATGCCCTGAGCTGCGCCCTTCAAGATGGTTAAGTGGCAAATCTTATGTTATATATACAGGGGTGAGCAAAAGTAGGTTTACAGTTGTAAGTACGCAAAACACAAGAATTTATTCTTGCATTATTATTAATTATTGTATTGCTTATTATTATTATTAACCTACTTTTGCCCACCCCTGTATTTTACCACCAAAAAAAAAGTTTGTAACCAAAGATCAAGACAAGGAACTAGTAACTTTCAAAGTAGCACAGTGTGGTAGGAAAAAATAAGTAACTTGTAGTTGAAAGTCCTGGCTCTACCACTTAGTGCAAGAGATGCTGGTCACATGACCTTACCCAGCATCCCCAGGTTCTGTGCCAGGGGGTTCAGACACCAACACTCCTCTCCAACTCACAGTGACTGTGTAAGGATCACAATTAGAGAAGGTGGCAATTTCCTAAGCTATAAAATAAAATTTTAACATTTTACTATTTTGTTCTATTTCTTTTAAAAAATAAGACAAGGCAGGAAGGTCACTCCCATTACCCATGTTCCCTCAGTGATGGGCAATTGGTTCAGGAATTATTTTTTCTTTTGGGGGTATCTTCATTTTCTAAGTTTCCATGCCTTGAGCTTGAGTTCAAATAAGCAGCAAAAATGTTAAAGGGATATATATTATTGTATCAACTGCTCTTTTATACTTCGTTTCATTTACATTCTAACTCATATTCTTAATCAAACTTCAGCAAATCTTAAGAAATAACTAAATATTAAAATGTTCAAAAACTAGGCACAGAAAACTTTTCCATAGAAGGACAGACTATGTAAGAACCTGATGTTTTTTAACACTGGAAAATGGGGCCACTGAGGTAGATGGATGAGGACACACCTGTATTTGTTTCTGCAATTTCACTTATGCTTAAAATATTTCATAACAAAAATTTTCAAAAGAAAACAGAGCCGTTGTGACTTTTCCAGGACAAATCTTTTCCCTCCCTGGACTAGCCCCGCAGGATGAAAGCTGTATGTGTCAATGGATAACACACCAACATATGAAAAGTGGTTGCATTTCCAGAGAGACAGCAAATGATTTTAATTATTTTAATCTATAGTCTTCCATGTTGGGGTTAATATTACTCCTTTTTATTCATAATGAATCTGGATTACTTTTGTAGTAAGATAGGTTTTTGGGTTTTTTGTTCATTCAGTAGTTGTAAGAAAGACAAGTTCCTTGGACAGTAAATTAGAACATCTAGTATCTGGCAAATGTTTCAAGGAATCCTCAACAGATCAAATGGCAACACAAATGTTTATATAACGAGGCTCTAAAGGAGAAGTGCACGATTCGCTTCAGTGCTTTATGAACATTTATGTTTCAAATAAGGAAAGAACCGTAAAGGCTGGGGAAGCAAGCACTACCCTGAGCCAAGGGACCAGGGCGCATGTCCTGAGGCTGTGACGAGGCCTGTGCTGGGCGGGGCAGGGCAGGGCAGGGCAGGGCAGGGCGGGGCAGGGCGGGGCGGGGCAGGGCAGGGCGGGGCAGGGCAGGGCAGGGCAGGGCGGCGGGGCAGGCTCCCATCGGCCGCCACGCCGCCACGCCGTGCTCAGAAGAGGCTCTAGCACATGTCTTCAGTCGGACGTCACTATTTCTCTAACATTTCCTGTGGCAACATTGAACTTAATATATATGTGTTTTTTCTTTTACATTGATTTCAGAGAGGAAGGGAGAGGGAGAGAGAAACATCAATGATAAGAGAGAAACAGGGACCGGCTGCCTCTTGCACATCCCACACTGGGGATGGAGCCCACAACCCGGGCCTGTGCCCTGACTGGAATTGAACCTGGAACCCTTCAGTCTACAGGCTGGGGCTCTATCCACTCAGCCACACCAGCCAGGGCACATTTCGCTTAAATTCCATATTCTGCTCTAAAACGGAACCTGAGGTAAGGACTAGGCCAGCAGTTCTCAGCACACAGCCACGCAGCACCCTGCACGGGCAGGTCTGCTCCTCATCACACACAGGCCTGCCTGTCGGCGGGCCCAGGGCTGCAGCACCTGCACCGAGAGCCGGAGGCCCTGCCCACACAGCGCCGCTCAGCGCTTACTGAACTGCAGCTTCAGGAAGAGGAAGGCCCACTGACACGGCCTCCGCGGCTCTACAGGAAAGGCGCTTCACATGGAAGATAATGAAGTTAATGACATGCAATACAGGACAATAAATCACATGGACTTCTTGCTTTCCAGGGGCAACAGCAATGAAGCCACTGGCTCACGTGTCAAGCCTCACACACTTCAGGTTGTACGTTATGAACCTGCTAAAACCACTGCACGCACAGGATGTGTGCTGTGCCCCTCACCCCTCACCCCTCAGCCCCCAGAAAACCACCTCTAAGCTAGTGCACACCCGCCCATGAGCTCTGAGGTTCAAAACCTGACCACAAATGTAGTGCCATCATTTATACTCCATCCTGAAAATCCCCCCATTCCTTTAAAAACCTCGATCCTGAGCTGAAAGGATTCTAAGGAAAAAACTAGCAATGGCTCGAAGGAAATTCTCAGGGAACATTCCCAGAAAGGCCCACGCTCAACGGGAACGAACCGGCAGGCAGGCGTCGCTGAGAACACGCGAGGAACACGCCGAAGAGCGAAAACCACTTGTGAACAGATGGCCCACTCCATTCCCACAGAACCCCCGCGTAGGAGACACGGCACCTGTGATACTGTGTTCACGGGGCAAAGAGGAGCCTGTCTTGGCACCAAAAATCTTGAAAAAGGCAGAGATTCCCTCAAGAATGGACAGGCGGTATTTCTACTACCAGGTCCCCGCGTGTTGTTTCTGTGCAATGTTACCATTGTTCCATATACACGGAAACAGTAAGAAAACCCCCAGCACCTACACGGCCACTAGGAAGACACGTGTATAAAATTAAAACTCATGAGGCTTTAGAAACACAGCTTCCATCTGCACGGCTGCCGGCAGCCAGGGTAAAGGCGGGAGCACAGGACATGAGCTTTCTTTGTTTGCTTCCAAGTCATAGATTATGCAGCTTAAAGAAAGAACCCAATGTTTATAGGCTCATAAATTTTAGTGCTTAACTGCCAGGATTTCTTGGAAATTTTTAGACAGGACTCTGGATCTCAACCAGTATTACTTCTTTGCTCTTTGCATATACAGTTAAAAGCATGACCAAGGTTATTCACAGAGAAGAAAAGTAGGCAATTCCCACAAATTGGAAAGTAAAACACTGTAGCACAAGGGGAAAGCCTGGTTAAGGGCATTAAACCTGAGGAAACACATGTTCAAACAGCACAGCCAATTACCTTCACAGAATTCGTTCAGCAGCTCCTCCTTGGTCCAATTACAGGAGGTTATTAGAAAAAAGCCGTTCACTTTCAAGACCCTGGAGAGAGAGTTCACATACTGCTTCCTCTTCTCAATTGCATTGTCAGGATTCAGGCTTATGGCATCAAAAGTCCCTTTGTCAATACAAACGTGAAACCCAGACAGCTCTGTGGGAAGATTCAGAAAGTCTTCTACCTACACGAGAAACCAGTGCCTGGTGAGAACAGCTACCACACAATCTTCACTGCGTTTAAAAGTTATCCATGAGAGCACCCATTCGTTCTGATGGCATTTTACATGTGAAACATATTTTCAACTTCATGGTTCACTTTTATGTGCTTCGTTCCAAGATCATTAAAGCTAAGAACAGTAAGAGACAACAGTGTTTCCTGGACACTCCAAATCTCTACAAATGTGGAAACAAATCAAAGCCAGGTGTGGGGCCTAGTGCCGCACACAACAGAGCCCCACGTGACTTCTGTGGAAAAGTGGAGTATTGGAGATATGCTTAAAAATCCAACAATTATCTATCGGGAGCTCAGACAGGCCCCTGGACATAAGAGGATTTCCAGCGAAGATGACAAGCTGACCTGAAGTCAAAGGGAAAGGAAAGTTCTTTTGCTTTGACTCAGCAGCTCACAAAGCAGCGAAGGGACGTAATGAACAGCACGAAGCTCACGAAGCTCCATGGCTGCTCCCACCGCAATGACTTCACTTTACAGCCATCACTCACTTTAGAATCGGATACACCCGCATCTCATTCATTCTCAGTAACCGATGACATTATAAGCACTCGAAACAGTGAGCGACCCAATTCCATAAAATATTCAAAGTCATCTGCCCACAAACTTAATTCTGAAAAGCTACTTTGAAAAAGTAATCACACAATTAGCTGATAATTATTCATATAAGCTTGATCGTCATAATGTATTATCCAAAGCGCCCTTACTGTCTGACTTGAAAATGAGACCTTATGTCTGTATACATTGGAACATGGGTTTCCCCTCCCTCACACCCAAGTAGTCATTGTACCTGAAGCAATAATGACTACCACGTCTAGGAGCTAAGTTTGGAGAATTTTCTATCCTAAGTGCCTGTATGAAAGTACACATTTATTCAACAAATATTTCATAGACATCTAGTAAATGCAGGAATTTTTCAGGCCCTGGGAATATAACCGCAAACAAAAGAGAAAAGTTCACGGCATAAGAGTATGTTGTAGCCCTGACTGGTTTGGCTCAGTGGATAGAGCGTCGGCCTGCGGACTGAAAGGTCCCAGGTTCGATTCCAGTAAAGGGCATGTACCTTGGTTGTGGGCATATCCCCAGTGTGGGGTGTGCAGGAGGCAGGTGATCGATGTTTCTCTCTCATCGATGTTTCTAACTCTCTATCCCTCTCCCTTCCTCTCTGTAAAAATCAATAAAACATATTTAAAAAAAAAAAAGAGTATGTTGTATATTCTCTAAAGGGGAAGACGGTGGCTGAGTGGGGAGAGAAATGTGTGGGAAAGGGGTCAGGAAAGGCCTCACATGGAGGCAACGTTCAAGCTGAGACTCAGTGAGGAGGACGAGCCAAGCAAGCTCACATCCGGGCAAAGGGCTGTAGGCAGAGAGCAGCAGGGAGGGCGCCTGGAGGACAGGCCAGACGTGCTTCAGGAGCAGAGCCGTGACTCAGCGCTGGGATAAAGAGGGAAAGAGTGAGAAGCGAGGCTGCGGAGGCCGGGGCAGAGGGCAAGTGCAGGTTCCACCCTGAGTGCAACAGGGAAGCGCCTGGAGGCTGGGGAACAGGAAGTCCCAGTGCTGGTTTGCATTTTATTTTTTATTGATTTCAGAGAGGAAGGGAGAGGGAGAGGGAGAAAGAAATATCAATGATGAGAGAGAATCATGGATCGCTGCCTCCTGCAGGCCCCACTACGGATCGAGCCTGCAACCCAGGCCTGTGCCCTGACTGGGAATTGAACCCTGACCTCCTGGTTCACAGGTCAATGCTCAATCCCTGAGCCACGCCAGTCAGGCCTGGTTTGCACTTTTTTTTTTTTTTTTTTTTAAATATACTTTATTGAATTTTTTACAGAGAGGAAGGGAGAAGGATAGAGAGTTAGAAACATCGATGAGAGAGAAACATCGATCAGCTGCCTCCTGCACACCCCCTACTGGGGATATGCCTGCAACCCAGGTACATGCCCTTGGCCGGAATCGAACCTGGGACCCTTCAGTCCGCAGGCCGACGCTCTATCCACTGAGCCAAACCGGTCAGGGCTGGTTTGCACTTTAAAACACCACGCTGGCGCTGCTTCGGCAGCACACATGCTAAGACTGGAACAATACAGAGATTAGCACGACCCCTGCGCAAGGATGACACACATTCGTGAAGTGATCCATATTTTTAAATCAATCAATCAATCAATCAATCAATCACCAGGCTGGCTGCCCTGTGGCGAGTGGAAATGGGGAGGCCACATAAGAGGCTACTGTAGTTGCCTGGGCAAGGAATGGTGGTGGCTTGGATTTGGGAGGAAGCAGTGGAACTATCAAGGAAAGATTATGTTCCTGATTGCCTTCAAAGATAAAGCCCTGGCTGGTTTGGCTCAGTGGAGAGAGCGTTGGCCTGCAGGCTGAAGAGTCCCGGGTTCGATTCTGGTCAAGGGCATATGCCCAGGTTGCAGGCTCGATCCCCAGTAGGGAGCGTGCAGGAGGCAGCCGATCCATGATTCTCTCATCATTGATGTTTCTCTCCCTTTCTCTTCCTCTCTGAAATCAATAAAAATATATTAAAAAAAAAAAAAGAACCAGTCATTGCATTTGATGGGGTTCTTTTAGAAAAAAACCCAAAACAGAATTGGATACAGAACTTAAAGGAAAGAGAGGAATTAAGGAAGACCCCTTGGGTTTGGGTTAGTGCAACTGGTAAATGAATGGTGGTATCATTGGAAATGGGAAGGGCCTTGGGGGGATGCAGGTTTAAGTATCATTTTGGACTAAGTGAGAGATTATTAGCTATCCAAGTGGAAGTGTAAAATATGCAGCTTTCATAGAATTCTAGAGCTCAGAGAAGTGCCTGAGCTAGAAATATCAACGCGAGACACATCATCTCCTCAGCGAGCACAGAAATAAACGAGGTATTCTTTGGCATTTCCCCACTTTATACATTTCCCAGTTTTTGATCTAGTGACTCAAACTCAGGGATTATTTGTGTGTCTGCAGACACGAGGGCGTGGGGAAGGGATGAGCACACTTGCACACGAGGAAGAAATGACTTCCCTAGCTGACTAGACTAAAAATTTTAACAGTCACTTAAAATCATTGCATTTTGGATTGTTTGATTGATATACATTAGCAACATTAACAGCTTATAACTTTTATCAGAAATAAAAATAACTTATGATAATATAAACAATACTTACCTTCAACGTAATGTTAGATAACCCTTCTTTCTCTATAATACTTCCGGAAAGCTGTATTGCAGAAGGCGAGTAATCAATGCCAGTAATGTTAGAGAAACCGAGTTTTGCCTAGAGACAGAGAAGTAATTTTATACTTTAGTTTTAAAATGTTTCGATATCCTGGTTTGCCTATGAATTATAATATTCCTTTAGGACTGGGACTGTTTTATTCACTTTTAATAGACCAAGTAATGTAAACCATACAATAATTTATAATGTTTAAATTTTATTATGGAATCAAAACAGAAACGAAACTGAAAATTTAAATCTATAGAATGTGACAATTCCTTTGCTTTTATATTTTATTTATTTTTCAAAAGGAAATTCATTTTCTCAAAGCCAATGAGAATACTTGTATGTATATTTCGGCCCTCAAGCAGAAAAGTATAGAGTTAATTTCAGATGTTGACATGCTCTGATTCACACATAAATCGAGCATAAATTTTACTTAACACAATTAAGTCTCATGAATACATTAAATGCATATGAAATAAGTCCTTGATTTAAAAGTCCCTTTAGCCCAGCCAGCCGTGGCTCAGTGGTTGAGTGTAGACCTATGAACCAGGAGGTCACGGTTCGATTCCCAGTCAGGACACACATGCCCGGGTTGTGGGTCCATCCCTGGTGTGGGGCATGCAGGATGCAGCCGATCAATGATTCTCATCACCGATGTTTCTCTCTCTCCCCCTCTCCCTTCTTCTCTGACATCAATAAAAATATACTAAATAAATAAATGGCAGAGACTGTAAGAATGGATTACAAAACATGCCCTCCCTACATGCCAGCTACAAGAAAATGATGAGTGGCTACCTAGGGGGAGGGTGTGGCCATGCCGATGGCAGAAAAGAGGGTTCTGGGAGGAACTACTCTGTATCCTGGATGATTGTAGGATCTGTACGTGTGTTAAAATTAGTAAAACTGTAACAAAAAGAGTCAATTTTGCAACGTGTTAATTTTTTAAGTTTAAAAGGAAATTATGAACAAATTCATGCTAGTAAATTTTTAATTTAGATAAATGGATAAATGTCTTAAAAACCACAAAACTGACTCAAACCCTACAAAAACATCTCCACGCCCAGAGGCTCTCACCATGATTCTTCCAAAGGCTTAAGGAAGAAACAAAGCTTCTCAAAGAATAAAAAGGAGATACGTCCCATCTCATCTTATGAGGCCAGCAAAACCTTTATACAAAAACCTCACATGAAAATTGCAAGTAAGGAAAATTACTGGCAAATTGCTCATGAAGCTATACAAATTCTAAGCAAGATACTACTAAATCCAACCCAGTAATACCTGAAAAAGATCATACACCACAATTAAGCTTGGCTTACTTCAGGGACAGAAGTTGCTTTGAACATTGAACAATCACTGAAATCATGTCAATAAAAATGTCAATTGAAAAAACTGAAGACCCCCCCCGCAAAAAATCAATCAACTCAACATTAATAGAACCAAAAAGAAAAATCATCTTATCAAAGAAGGCAACTAATCAAATTTAACGCCCATTCATGATCAAACACTATTAATTAGGAATATAAAGGACCGTCCTCAGTCTGATTTAAAAAAAACAAAACGATAAAAACCTATAGCTAACATGTTTAATGGTGAAATTTTAGAAGCTTTTCTTTTATCATAGGCAATGTTACAAGGCGAGCTGCCTTCACAATTTCTATTCAACACTGTACACAGCATTTTAATATATTTTACTGATTTTTTTACAGAGAGGAAGGGAGAGGGATAGAGAGTTAGAAACATCGATGAGAGAGAAACATTAATCAGCTGCCTCCTGCACACCTCCCACTGGGGATATGCCCGCAACCAAGGTACATGCCCTTGACCAGAATCGAACCTGGGACCCTTCAGTCCGCAAGCCGACGCTCTATCCACCAAGCCAAACTGGTTAGGGCTGTACACAGCATTTTAATAAATAAGATATTGAGGTTGGGATAGAATAAAATTATTATTTACACCTGACATACACTACAGTGAATTTTTACACATATACTATGGTAAACTATCAGAAAATGAAATTTAAAAAACATAACAGTTTTAAAAAATCTAGGAATCAATCTAAGAGAAGATGTGTAGGGTCTCTACAGAGAAAACTACAAAGTATTACCGAAAGCAAATAAAGAATTACATAAACGGAGGAGCGCATCATGCTCATGAACTCGGAGACTCAATGCTGCGAAGATGTAAATCCTCCTGCCCCTGCGATCTCCACCCAGCTCAGACACTGACTCTCCCCGCCCCTCCCCCGTCCCTCTCCCCACATGTGCCAGTGCCCTGCCTGGAGCCGGGCTGTCCAGCGTCACCCCCCACGCTGGGCCTCACTGTCACCCCCACCCAGGCCAGCCTCTAGGATCCTGGGAGCGACTCATGCACAAGAGCTGAATGTTCATGTTGCCACCGCCCAGCACGGAGCGGCACATGGCCCTCATTCAGCACATTTCACTGTTGTACGTACATCCTCACACATGACACAGGAAAACCCTCCCTGGTCTTTCTCTTCCTCCACGGCAGGTGGCACAGCACGGACACATCACAGGCCCACGACAGGGACGGCACAGCCAGTGATAGAACCTGTACCAAACCCAGTTCCATGCACAAAATGCCCTGTTCCAGCCACACTCTCACCCAACATGAGGCATATGTGTCCCATGGGGGGCGCAAAAAGGCACCTTCCTTCCATACACAGATCTCTGGCGCTCTGAGCTAGAAGGAACCAGTAAGGCCATAACCAGTTTGGCTCAGTGGATAGAGCGTTGGCCTGCGGACTGAAAGGCCCCAGGCTCGATTCCGGTCAAGGGCATGTACCTTGGTTGCGGGCACATCCCCAGTAGGGGGTGTGCAGGAGGCAGCTGATCGATATTTCTCTCTCATTGATGTTTCTAACTCTCTATCCCTCTCCTTTCCTCTCTGTAAAAAATCAATAAAATATAAAAGGAACCAGTAGGAATCACCACGTCACAATCTTCGGGAAAGAACTGAAGCCCAGAGAAATGCAGTGGTTTGGTCAAAGTCAAGGCTGTGGCGGGAAGGGCCATGACTAGGACTCAGACCCCTTAGCTTTTCATGTAGTTCCTTCTCCCCGTCCTGCGCCTCCCTTTTGTACCAGGTGACTTTCAAAGTAGGTGGCATGCTTGCTTCCCTACTTTAACTCAGATGGTTAGTATCCTCGATTGCAAGTTTCCTAAGTTTCATTTTAAAATTTGGCTGTGCCGAAACCGGCTTGGCTCAGTGGATAGAGCGTCGGCCTGCGGACTGAAAGGTCCCAGGTTCGATTCCGGTCAAGGGCATGTACCTGGGTTTCGGGCACATCCCCAGTGGGGGGTGTGCAGGAGGCAGCTGATCGATGTTTCTCTCTCATTGATGTTTCTAACTCTCTATCTCTCTCCCTTCCTCTCTGTAAAAAATCAATAAAATATATTTAAAAAAATAAAATAAATAAAATAAAATAAAATAAAATTTGGCTGTAACACAGGAATACTAAAGGTACCAACAAGCTCAACCAGGAGGACACCATTTCCGGTTCCAATATCCAGCACCGCAGCATCCAAGGGGATCTTGTGTCTCTGCATCCACCTTAGGAGTCGATTCACACTCTCCTCCCCAAACCTGTTAGAAACAGAGAACTGGTTACTCCAACACCAGAGGGACAGAGCCGGGTCACAGCGACGCTCCCCCCGCAGGTCATTCAGGTACGCCATGAAGCCATTCTGGAAGGTAAAGGTACTAACCGTGACTGCTTGGGCTTCATCTGCACTATTATCCAGGAAAAGACACACCGAAGAACAGAACAGAATACATAAGGTCGGTGTGTTACTTATTAATGTTTCTCTACATCAGCATTAACAATTGTATGTATTGATGGCTCAAAATGTTACTGCTTATTTAAAAAGGACAATTATAGAAAGAGAGTAATTTCCTAACGCTACCATCAAATTTAAATCTGGGTCATTAAAAGACAGAGGTTCTTTAAATCCAACAACTAGAGCCAGCATTGGTTCAAGGTTGCCAAGATTTTCAGCCCATCTCTCTTTGGGATACACACTGAAAACATAAAGACACACACACACACACACAGTCCTCCGGATTCCACTATTTTCTGTAACTCACCAGATTTCTCCTGTGTCTCCATATTCTTGGAAAGTGTGCAGTTCTCGCTCATACACAGCATCCCAACTACAGAAATAATCAAATGCAAAGCAAGATTCCTGAATTAAACTGAATTAAATGTATATTTCTAATAGGTTACAGAGATTTATGACGGACATTGAAAACATTATTAGTGTTATGCCCGACCTGTGTGGCTCAGTGGTTGAGCATCGACCTACGAACACATGAAGGTCACCATCCGATTCCAGGTCAGGGCAGGGGCCCTGAGTTACAGGTTCCATCCCCAGTAGGGGGCGTGCAGGAGGCAGCAGATCCATGATTCTCTCCCATCATTGATGTTTCTATCTCTCTTTCCCCTCTCCCTTCCTCTCTGAAATCAACAAAAATATATTTTTAAAAAGAAACTAATATTTATTTTTAAAAAGTAGCCCTAGCTGGTTTGGCCCAGTGGATAGAGTGTCGGCCTGAGGACTGATGGGTCCCAGGTTCGAATTCCAACAAGGGCACAGGCTCGGGTTGCGGGCTCAGATTCCCAGTTGGGGGCGTGGAAGAGGCGGCCGATCAATGACTCTCTCTCATCATTGATGTTTCTATCTCTCTCTCCCTCTCCCGTTCTCTCTCTGAAATCAATAAAAATTAAAAAACTAAAAAATAAAGTAAAATTAAAATACATTAGTGTTATCAATGAGTTCACATAACTCAAATCTCTTAACATCTCAGTGTTTAAAAAATGAAGACAGACAAGCATAGTAAGCTTACACATGTAAAGCACTTAGAACAGTATCTGACACATAAAAAAGCTGTTTTAGCTTAAAAAAAAAAATACAAACAAGTATTTGTTCGAGGATCCCTTAGTCCCAAACACAAGTCCAAACTTCCAGTTTAAAATGTGGGGAAACGGGGATTTTTCTACCAAGTTAGTGGCTGCTCCCAATGGACCCCCCTCAGATAAGCGCTGCTTGCAGGATGTGCTAAGATGTACCCTTATTCCTTTCAAGTCCAGCTCTCCCCCCTACTGCACCCCCTCCTCCGACACCCCCCAGCACCCTTCTCACCCCGCACCCCGAGTTTCCTCTCACCCTCGCCATTCCCCGCAGCCATTCACCCCGTCACCTACTAATTCATCAACACTTACCCACCCTGTGTTAGGTCAGATCCCTGTCTCGCCTCCCAGGATCACCCCGCGGGTCATCCTGCGCCCCCACCTGGGAGCGCACACCCCGCCTCGCGCCCTCGGCCTTTCCCGCCCTAGACCCCGCCGGTCCGGCCTCTCCCCTCCCCGGGCTCGCCCTCGGGGTCAAGACCTACACGGCCTCCCCAGACCTTCAGCGCCGGCCCCCGTCACCGGTCAACCCCTTTAAAGCCTCTCCATCCCCCCAAGGAGGCCGCCGGCGACTCCGCGCCTCCAATGCCCCTCCCCGCCCCGGTGGCCCCGCAGGCTCCCGCCCGCCACGCCCCCAAGTCTCCCCCATCTTCCGAGACCCCCGGGCGCCACCCCTGCGTCCCCCACCCCGGGGGGCGCCACACTCACTGCTCTCGGGTCCCGAGCGCCGACGGGGCGAAGCCGCCCGCTCCGGGACTGCCCTCCCGGGACCGCGCCGTCAGCCCCGCGCCTCCGCGCGCGCTCATCCCGCTCTGCGGCCGGGACTGCTGTTCGGCCGCCATAGAGACGACGCGGGGCAGAGCGGTCGCGCGGGGGGCGCCTCTAGGCCGCGGGAGGCCGCCCTCTCTACTGCTCCCGGCCGCGTGATGTCCCGGCCCCGCCTTCCTCCCAAGTCCGGGTCCGGAACCCAGACCTGGGCGGCGCTGGACCCCGCCTCCCTCCCCGCCCCTGCGCCCAACGTCAGATGCACCCCCTTCCTCGAGGTGCTCCCCGAAGCCACTAGATTTGGGAACTGCTGTTTGTAAGGTTTGGCAGTGGGTAAGCCACGCTAAAGACCCAAGTGCTCAAATCACCGCATCTCTCTACCTGGTGGGCAGATCTGGGAACTTTTTTTAAAATACATTTTTATCGCTTTCAGAGAGGAAGGGAGAAGGAGAGAGAGAGAGAGAGAGAGAGAGAGAGAGAGAGGAGAGAGAGAGAGAGAGAGAGAGAGAGAGAGAGAGAGAGAGAGAGAGAAACATCAATGATGAGACAGAATCATGGATCGTCTGCCTCCTGCACGCCCCACACTGGGGATGGAGCCCACAACCCAGGCCTCTGCCCTGACCAAAATGGAACCCTGACCTCCTGGTTCACAGGTCCTGGCTCAACCACTGAACCACCTTGGCCGGGCAAATCTGGGAATCTTTATTTGGCTTCTGGCTACTTTCATTTGTGGCTGGGATTCTGCCTTAAAAATAACATTCTGACTTCTCCTAACGGGAAGTCAATAGGAGGACATGGGAATTTGTGCCCAAAGTAAGGAATGCCCTAGGACCCCACCCCCAAATACCCGGATCAAGGGGATCAGAGTGATAGAGTGATGTGGAGGAAAGAGCACTGAGAGGCAGGATGCCCGCATGCCCATCTCAGCGCTGCCCCTCCCGGGCACCTGGCCACATCCAAGACTCCTCACCTCCGTGTGCCTCAGTTTCCACGCCTGTACCTCGCCCTAAATGGATGGTGACCATTCTACGAGATTGCTCCCAACCAGTGAACCTGAAATTCCTTGGTCTAGTTGTGCCGTGTAATGCAAGAGAGCTTACCCGCCAAAGGCGGCGTGTAGCAGCAATGAAATGCTGGCAGTTCTGCGTCCCAGACAAGCATTTCAAAGGCCCCTGGCAAGGCTGCTTCCCACCGAGAGGAATGTTTCCTAGGACACGTTTCTGTTGACTCTGCAGACCCAGTCCTTCGAGGTAAACAACCTCAGCGGTTGCCTTTCCAGCTCCCAGAAACCCCAATTAGGAAGAAAGTGCATCTTCTCCTAGAAGAGGCGTTCGCAGATCTTCAGGCAACCACCAGGGACAGAATCCGGGGAGGAGGCAGAAGGGAGGCCGTGTGTACTGACTCAAGAACCCACCGAAGAGAAGAGCGTAAGTAGCCTCATTACAGAGAAATAAAACCGCCGGGTGCCAGCGCCAATGAGTGCTGCCCGGGCGAATGGTTGTTTTCGTCTTCTCTAGACCCTAGATGCCAGAGAAAGCAGGCTTGAATGTGACTGAGCCGGTCTTAGACAGTTCTAGGTTATAATTAAGAGAGAGCCATGAAAGATCAGGCCACCTGCAGTCTGATGTCTTCCCAACACTGAGGCTGTCTTTGCTGTGTGTGGTGAATGCTATAAACACTGTTGGTATGCAGCCCTGGGAAAAGCCACCGTTTATCGAGTCCCTTCTCTGGCTCCAGGATTACTCTGGCTGTTTAGGCCTGAAGGCTGTGAGGACACCACCTCTGATCACCCCGGGCAACGGAGATTCTTGGTGGGAGGTGGAGAAGCTTAGTCCCAGCAGGGCTGCCCATCACCAGGGAGAAGCTGGAATGTGCCAAGGAACACAGCGCCCCCCCCCCCCCAGCCTGTTCCATGGGGCAGGAGGGAGGTTCTGAGAGTGCCCCCCCCACCCCCCACCTGTTCCATGGGGCAGGAGGGAGGTTCTGAGAGTGCCCCCCCCTTCCATGGGGCAGGAGGGAGGCTCTGAGAGTGCCCCCCCCCCGCCTGTTCCATGGGGCAGGAGGGAGGTTCTGAGAGTGCCCCCCCCCCCCCGCCTGTTCCATGGGGCAGGAGGGAGGTTCTGAGAGTGCCCTGGGTCCCCCTGTCTGTCTCTCCCTCCACCGAGCCCTGCAGCATGACCCCCTGCTCACCCACAGCAGCTCTGACATTGGCTCCCAACAATTCTCAACGGCTTCCTCGTTGACAAGCTAAGGGCCAAGTTCCAGGCTTTACCTCTTTCTCTCTCTTTCTTGTTTTTTCCCCAAATTTTTTTATTGACTTCAGAGAGGCAGGGAGAGGGAGAGAGAGATAGAAGCATCAATGATGAGAGAGAATCATGGATCGGCTGCCTCCTGGACGCCCCTATTGGGAAGAAAGCCCACGACCCAGGCATGTGCCCCGACCGGGAATCAAACCTTGGTCTCCTGGTTCATAGGTTGACGCTCAACCACTGAACCACACCAGCTGGCCAGGCTTTACCTCTCTTGATTGATCTATAGGGGTCAACACAGCTTAGCACATCCCTTTTCAAAGCCCCTCAGCACCACCTGCTCTTATGTGAACCTTTTAAAAAGGGGAGCTAGGCACCCAGCTCCAGTTGGACTGCCAGGATTTGAGCCTTCGCCTTATCATGTGTGACTATGGGCAAGTTTCTTAACTTCTCAGGGCCTCAGTTTGCCCATCCTACAACAAGGATAATAATAGTGCCCATGGCATAGGGCAGCTATAGAGATTAAAGGAAATACTTTCTGTAAAATCCTACATGCCTGATGTATAAATGCTCAATAAATGCTACCTCAGTTTCTTCAACCATAAAATGGAGTTTAAAATGGGTCTCCTTCAGCCCGGCCAGTGCGGCTCAGAGGTTGAGCATGGACCCTTGAACCAAGAGGTCACAGGGCTGATTCCCGGTCAGGGCACATGCCTGGGTTGCAGGTTCGATCCCCAGTAGGGGGCGTGTAGGAGGCAGCCGTTCTCATCAATGTTTCTATCTATCCTCCCTTCCTGTCTTTAAAAAAAAAATCAATAAAAACATACTTTTTTATTTATTTTTTAAATATATTTTATTCATTTTTTTACAGAGAGGAAGGGAGAGGGATAGAGAGTTAGAAACATCAATGAGAGAGACACATCGACCAGCTGCCTCCTGCACACCCCCCACCGGGCACGTGCTCGATACCAAGGCACATGCCCTTGACTGGAATCGAACACAGGACCCCTGAGTCCGAAGGCCGACGCTCTAGCCACTGAGCCAAACCGGTTAGGGCTATAAAAACATACTTTAAAAAAAATTTTTTTAAATCCTCCTTTAGAGGATTGTTAGCAAGATTAAATAAGTCTATATAGTGTAAAGTTAGCTATCCTTACTGTTAGTAACTTCCACCCCCTACCCTCAGCTACAGACTTCTAGAGCAGTTGCCTAGGTGCCCCTTGTTACGTTCAGCTCAGCCTGTTCAAAACTGAACTGTCTTGCATGGCCTTCCCTCACACCCCCTATCCCTCTGAACCCCCTTTTCCCTGTGCTCTCTACCCCCCTGGTTCCTGGCCATCCTACCATCATTCTTGTCCTTCCCTCCCCTCCCCACAGCTCCTCCCGGTCTCCTCCTGGTGTCTGGGCTCAGGGACATTTTTCAATCCTGTCACCACCGCACTGTCGTCTTTGGGCCGCTCAGGCTCACAGCTCACTGGGGCCGGTTGTTCGGATACATTTTGAAGGCTGCTGACGGATCCAAGTGGGGTGTCAAGAACGATTCCAAGGGTTTCCCGCCCAACTTCCAGAAAACGGTTCTGTTTGCTTGGACAGAGTGTGGAAAGAGTTTTGTGGGAGATCAAGAGCCTAGTTTCCAACCAGAAAGATGGAATAAATTGAAGAATAATGATTAGAAAGGTGAGTTCCTTCCCTGAGTTTCTTTGCTTAGCTCTGTTATAGTTTATTTTCACTTCTGTTTGTTATTTGTTGCTTTCATCCTCTTTCCATTATATTTCATTAAATTTGTGTTCCCTTGTACCCAGAATCCAATTGCTTCTTACCACCTCCCCTGCTACCACCATTTCACTTCTACCACCACCAAGCCATGGCCATCCCGGCTCTGGGTTACCGTAATACCTCCCCTGGCACTATATTCTTGACATGGCAGCCAGAAAGGTCATATGGAGATTGAAGTCGCATCATGTTACTTCGATATCTAACCCCAAACCATGCAACTGCCTGAATCACCTCCTTGCATCCATCCTTGAGCATGACAGATGTTGGACTTGAACACTCATCATTCTATTTGCAAAAAAAAAAAAAAAAAAACTGTTTTGCGCAACCATCAAGGGCTCTGCAGAAGAGGCGATGTCTGGGGTGTGCTGGGCGCGAGAACCACGGGTGACACGGTGCGGGGGCGTCGTTTGTTCTGATCCCGTAAACTTGCACTCGTCACCCCTCCCGCCGGGGCGCTCCGGCCTCCGGCCTCATCTGCGAGGACTTCATTTCCCAGGATGCCCCGGGGCGAGGCCGGCCGGAAGGCTGCGTGCCCTCCGCGGGGCATGATGGGGGAATTGGAGATTTCCATCATGGCGGCTTCCATTTCGGGCTACACCTTCAGCGCTGTGTGTTTCCACAGCGCCAACAGCAACGCCGACCACGTAGGTGCCGGGCCCGCCGCCCTGGCCGCTGGGGCCGAGCCGGGACCACCTGCGGTTCGTCCTCCCGGCTCCCGGGCCGGCCCGAGGCGCTGGGGACCCGGGCCGCTCCCGCCCCGGGCGAGTCCTGCTGCCCAGGCTCCTGTGCCCCCGGGCTGGGCCCCCTGGCTCAGGGCCTTCCGCCGCCCGGCCGCCCGGAGGCCGCGCTCACCGGTTTGGCGGAGCTGGCCCGGCCGGCCGCCGGCGGTGTCAGAGGTCGCTCCGCGGGAGCCGGGCGTCTGCCCCTCCCTGGGTGTCCGGCTGGTCTCGCGGGGGGTCACGGGGAGCGAGCCGGGCAGCCGTGGCTGTCACTCCTCACACGGGTTCGATGAGATCGCGCGCTTCCTCCTCCGTGGAACATGGGGGATGCGAACGGCAGGGCTCGGC